CCTGTTTCTCACTTGGCGTAGACTGCTGTACTAAATTCTTACCGTTTAAAAAGATTAGGACCTTTTCCTCTCATTTTTTGAAACAATATGTGCACAGAAAAAAAATTTAAAAACCAAAGCCTCTCGTAATTGCATCAAGCAATGAAAAAGCGATAGCCACTGGGATAACAACTGCCATATATATATATGGCAACCGAGATGTGTGTGTGTGTGTGTGTGTGTGTGTGTATTTAATTAGAATCATCATATATTTCAATGTATATTTATTTTCTGGCATTTTGATTCTGAACTCAATAAAGAGTATCTACCAGAAAGACCTACATCAGACCTCCAACATCGTGCACAGCAGTTAACGTGCTCTCTAATGTTGGGAACAACTCAAGGATATTGCTATCGCTGCTACCATTTAAACTTGCATCACAAATTTCTGCCAATGTAAGAAGACAAAGAAGAAGAAGAAGAAGAAGAAGAAGAAGAAGAAGAAACAGGTAGACTTAATACCGGGAAGGAAAAGACAAAACTGTTCTTTATAGATAATTACCACAAAATGCGAGGTATAGTACACTGCGAAACTACTAGGAATAATGAAAAAGTTTAAGAAAATCCATATACATGATCAAAATCATTGTTTTCTTTTATACTATCAACAACAACACAGAAATACACTTTAAAAATCCCTGCCATTTGCAACCAAGTGGATGGAACTGGAGGGTATTATGCTAAGTGAAATTAGTCAGAGAAAGACAAATATCTATGACTTCACTCTTAGGAGGCCTTTAAGAGACAAAACAGATGAACATAAGGGAAGGGAAACAAAAATAATATAAAAACAGGGAGAGGGACAAAACAGAAGAGACTCATAAATATGGAGAACAAACTGAGGGTTACTGGAGGGGTTGTGGGAGGGGGGATGGGCTAAATGGGGAAGGGGCGCTAAGGAATCTACTCCTGAAATCATTGCTGCACTATATGCTAACTAACTTGGATGTAAATTTTTTTTTTTAATTTTTTTTTTTCAACGTTTATTTATTTTTGGGACAGAGAGAGACAGAGCATGAACGGGGGAGGGGCAGAGAGAGAGGGAGACACAGAATCAGAAACAGGCTCCAGGCTCTGAGCCATCAGCCCAGAGCCCGACGCGGGGCTCGAACTCACGGACCGCGAGATCGTGACCTGGCTGAAGTCGGACGCTTAACCGACTGCGCCACCCAGGCGCCCCATAAATTTTTAAAAAATAAAAAATAAAATTAAAAAAATAAAGTAACTTTACTCCCAACAACTACACACTGACTGAATCACATTGCCTTGAGTTGTTTCTTTTGTAGCTCGTGTAACTTGTAAAAATTATCTTATTTCTATATTTGTTTACCAGTTTGTTTCCCCAGCCAAATAAAAATCATAAAGGAAAGGAAAAAAAAATCCCATTCCCAGTAAGCACAAAGAACTCTTTAAAATACAGGACAATAAACATAACATGATATGTGCAAGACTTACATAAGAAACACCTGTATTAGTGAAATAGGGACACTTGGGTGGCTTAGTTGGTGGAGCGTCCAACTGATCCCATGGTTCGTAAGTTGGAGCCCCACATCCGGCTTGCTGCTGTCAGCAGGAGCCCCGCTTTGAATCCTCTCCCTCTCTGTCTCTGTCCCTTCCCTTTCTTGTGCTCTCTCTCTCTCTCTCTCAAAAATAAATAAACCTTAAGAAAAATATATTAGTGAAATAGGGGCGCCTGGGTGGCTCAGTCGGTTGAGCGTCCGACTTTGGCTCAGGTCATGATTTTGCAGTTGACGAGTTCCAGCCCTGCGTCAGGCTCTGTGGTGATGGCTCAGAGCCTGGAGCCTGCTTCGGATTCTGGGTCTCCCTCGCTCTCTGCCCCTCCCCCACTCACGCTCTGTCTCTCTCTGTCTCTCAAAAATAAACATTTAAAAAAATTTAAAAAATACTAGTGAAATACATAAATGAGGACCTGAATAAATAGATGTATTACAGATTGATGTTGTCAAGGTATAATTACCCCCAAATTAATCAATATGAATTCTGTGCAAATTCCATCAAAATCCTAACAGGATGTTTCAAGGGATCTGATAAACTGTTTCTAGCATTTGCCTGAAAGTGAATGAGCAACGATTGCCATGAAAATGTTGTAAGGGATTCTTTGTCCTGTGCAGAGCAGAGATCTACTGTAATTTTTGAAATACGGTTTTGGCACATGAATAGCCCCAAACATCAATAGAACAGAGTAGATTCAAGAAAAAGACCCCCAAATATTGAGAATTCAGTACATAATCATGTTGGCATTTCAAAGCAATGGGGGAAAAGATGGTATTGGGATAACTGGCTTTCCTTAGCAGAGTAAAAACTTAGGTGCTTACCTGAAATAAATTATAGATATTAGATGTACACACACACACACACACACACACTAGGTGCCACAAAATAAATTACAGATGGCTGAAATCCTGAAGAGTTAAACATAGAGAGAAAAATAACTATGAAAGAAAAAAAAATACAGGAACATTTTCCCATCTTTTGTGTGGGGAACATGTTATAGGTGAGGTTCTCCCAAAACTAGGCTCTGAAATGGAAAGTTGTGTGCAAGGGAGCTCTTCAGATTCAGTACTTATGAGGGAAGAGAAGGGATCAGGATTAGGTAAAGAAGCCGGGCTGAGATACAATTACAATGAAGCCTCATCCAGTCACTGGGTGCAGGCTGACCCCCATGGGGGAGGTGACCTGGGGAGCGGGGTCGCTCTCTTAGGCTGAGAGTGACCCTCAGAGAGGGCTGACAGCTTCAGTCCCGAGGAGATCTCGTTTGTGCAGTGCACAATCCACACTTGAACAGCATGGATCAATTTCTTCTTGTACATTTGGGCAGCAGCTCCTCCAAGATCCCACAAGTATCTTTTCTTAGGGAAAACTTACAAAGGGAAGATTAGTAGAATGACTTACAGCTTCCACCGCTGCCGCTGGTCTTGAAGCCATAACTGATACGCAGTGTCTCCTTCTCTTTCCCAGTCCAGATTCCCCGTGTCCTTCACCAGAACCCCAGCGAGTCTGGATGGCTTACTTGGTGAGGTGAGCCAGACCCTCATCTGAGGGTCCGAGCCTCTGATCACTATGCACTTCTTTTTTTTAATTAAAAAAATTTTTTTTTAACATTTATTTATTTTCGAGACAGAGCACAAGTGGGGGAGGAGCAGAGGGAGAGGGAGACACAGAATCTGAAGCAGGCTCCAGGCTCCGAGCTGCCAGCACAGAGCCCGACACGGGGCTCGAACTCATGAACTGCGAGATCATGACCTGAGCCGAAGTCGGACGCTTAACCGACTGAGCTGCCCAGGTGCCCCTGATCACTATGACTTTTCATGCCATGGCTATTGTATTCATTTGTCCTCACAACTGAATAAGGGACATAGATGCTTGCACATTCTGCAGTGCCAGAAAATAAGAAAGCGTTCAATGAAAAAGCCCAACAGTGATGGGAGTGTGTCGAAGAGAGGCGGGAATGACGCGAAAAGAATTACCTCTGGCCAAAGCTGAAACAATTGGAGGTAAAAAAAAAAAAAAAAA